CAACTCCTCTTTAGTCTTTAAAATCGTACATATAGTCGATTTAGCCATCCCATACTCATCACTAAGTTCCGCAATGCTTGTTCCATCATCACGTTTCTTTATGATTTCTTTCTGAGTTTCAAGAGTTATGAGCTTTCTCACCTGCTTTGGACGATTCATTGTCACAATTGTACACTTGTATAACAAAATATTTATACAAATAACTCTATTTTCACATCAAAAGACGAAATTTCAACAATAACAGTGGTGCACTGGCTACACAATGAGACAAAGATGGCGCCTGACACTCTTGTTGTGGGTCGCGGTACAACAATATTCATGCGCCAGGCGAAATAGTCCCGCATTCATCCGCGTTCGTTGTAGGAGTTGCGTTCGTTATAGCTTTCTCAATTTTATAGGTAAAACTGTTGTAGGAATATTCGTAGTAGGATCCGTTCGTTATAGCATACCCCATTGTACCTGTACCCTTCATATACAATACAGTACAATACTTTTTATAATGTATCAGTAGTGTAATGATTAAATAAAAAATGGGAAATTTGACAATGGCTAAGTTTGCACGCCACCTACCCTCCTCCCAGTGGAGAGGTCTGGGTGAAAAAATTTCCTTATTATTCAGCTTGTCATGTAATTTTGAGGTAAAATTTATAATTATGCATCATATTTTTTCTAATGTGTTTAATAATTTATATTGTTAATGATAAAACATGCACCATAGAGGCTGATATTAATTAATGAATAATAAATAAACAATATTGTATTGTTAATGACAGTACAGTAGTTTGATGAATAGTAGCGACGATTATAGTATGCTTCTATTCATAAAACGACTGTCAGTGACGATACAATATTGCTTATATATTAATTAATACCACACCATCACACCCAGACATCCTAACACCACCCACACACCCACATATATTATGACATAAATTTATGTGTGGTTAACTACTTGGTGGTGAAAGAAAAGATCATCTGTTGAGGAGCTTAGTGCTTGGGAACACTGGTCCATGTTACCAATCCTTTACACTCCATCTCTCTAATCGCCCACACCTTTCTGCTTTCTCACTCCATATTTTAAAACGTTATGCAATGTAATATTGTAGGGATACAATGTTGCTCATTTATACTTATCACAATCTCCCTAAAAAATATTGTACTTTAGCTTTCATGTTTATTGAAGACCTCTTCAGGTCCTGAGACCCACTAATCCCCCATCCAACAATGGGTGGCCTGACATTGTATGAGGTCAGTAATATGAGACCACTAATACCTCACCCTACCTCCACCTGACATTGTGTCAGGTCAAGTCAGTTACATGAGACCCACTAATCCCCCACAGCTCCATGGGAGTGGATAATAACAGTCCTTGCTGTAACACACAGCTTCATTCACGACCATATCATATAGATTTTCAGTTTAGACTTGTAAAACTCCCCAGCACAGAGTAACATTCTGAGGATGTGGGCTAGTGTTTGTCTGTGCAAGATGCATAGCTCAGACACTAGGAAAGTTTTTCCAGTAACCGGAAATATTTCCGGGGATGGGGGATTTTTCCGAGTTTGAGAAAGTCGTCCGGTTAGTCGGAAATCTCTCATTCCTGGAAGTGCTCTGCACCAATTGTTCTGGCTAACGGGAATATCACTGTTACCTGGAACAATTGGTGCAGAGCACTTCCAGGATTGAGATATTTCCAGGTAAAGCGACGACTGTCTCAAAGGTGGAAAAAAATCTCTCGTCCCCAGAATTTTCCGAGTAATAGAAAAATGTTCTCGGAAGTTCCAGAAATTGCCCATTACATCATTTCTCGAACCCGGAAAAATATCCCTCATCCCCGGAATTTGCCAGGTAATGGAAAAATTTTCTCGGAATTTTCAGAAAATGCGCCTGATTTTCATCTCTCAAACCCGGAAAAACTCCCCCGTCCTCGAAATCTCCCGGGTATCGGCAAAATTTTCTCGGAATTTTCAAGAAAATCGTTCCCAAAGCTGGAATTTCCTGAAAATTACGGTTTTGGGAAGAATTTTCTGAGAAAATTTCAATTCCAGCTATCAGAGATTTTCAGGTTTGAGGGATTCCAATTTACGCAGTCAATTGAACCCACAGGGTACCGTGGAAAGTGAAAACCGCGTAAAGTGAACAAAAGAACATATGGGATTAATTCCAATAGAGACTGGCCCGCCCCCAAACTCCACTTTTTCTGACACAATACCTATGTTGTAGAAAAAATAACATCTTAATTTTATGATGGTATGCACACACAATTAATATTTAAGAGAAATACAGTCGCCAGGTTAATGTCCATTCAAATAATGGACTCAACTCCTCCTCAGCTCACTGGCTCCTACCTCTCTGAGAAATGTTTGGGTGAAAACACTAGATTATAACGTATAATAATAAATAATACCTCAGACTAAAGTTAGGATAATATAATTGACATTTCTGGATTCCTTGCAGGTCAGGGAATATTTTGAATGTAAACTTAATATATTTTGCACAAAGGATAAAATATTTGCTTTGTGTATCCAAATTATTATATTAGATCTGAAATTTGTATGTCTAATGCAAAATCTATGATGTTTATATTTAAAATGATCATCATATTGTAAGAATTCCAGCAATGTAAATTATATTCTGGCCTGGTAATTTGTATGAATTTTATGAGCTAAAACAAATATCTTCAGTAAATAAACAAAGAAATATTCTTCAAGGACACTATCTGTCAATCAAAGTACCCCACCTTGCCTCCCCCCCCCCTCCTCACACTCACGCCAGCTGGGTCGGTTGGTCCCAACCCTCCCCCCCACCCCCACCTTCCCTCCCTACCAGAGAAATGTTTGGATGAAAACACTAGATTTTAACGTTTAGTAATAAATAATACCTCAGACTAAAGTTAGGATAATATAATTGACATTTCTGGATTCCTTGCAGGTCATGGAATATTTTGAATGTAAACTTCATATATTTTGCACAAACTATAAAATATTTGCTTTGTGTAAACCAAATTATTACATTAGATCTAAAATTTGTATGTCTAATGCAAAATCTATGATGTTTATATTTAAAATGATCATCATATTGTAAGAATTCCAGCAATGTAAATTATATTCTGGCCGGGTAATTTGTATGAATTTTATGAGCTAAATAAAAAAAAAATTATACTTCACAGCGTATATGAGTGAGTAGGTATGAGTAGATGCACCGCGGAAAGTGAAAGTAAGTGAAAGTCCGGTTCTGGCAAGGTACCGAGTAAATGAGAAATCAAATGAGAAATCGCGGAAAGTGAAACCGTGTTAAGCAACGTCCGGTTCTGACAAGGTACCGCGTAAATGAGAAATCGCGGAAAGTGAAACCGTGTAAAGCGGGGTAATACTGTACTTATTTCACTGTTACGTTTTTGTAGTTCATTACTCTTAGGTGAAGAAACAGAAACAAATTATGTGTGAAGATTATTCTTTTCATAAATAATGCTTTACTCGCCATAAGGTGGCTGCATCTGCCTGAACCGCGGGCCACATTAATAGAATTCCTCAATCACTCCGCAGGCCGCACAAAAACTTTGTCCGAGCCGCAGGATCGCCATGCCTGCTGTATAGGATTGTCCCAGCCTCAGAATGTTTAGACAGCCTTTCATTCACCCATACAGTGCAGTATAGGACTGTCCCAGCCTCAGAATGTTTAGACAGCCTTTCATTCACCCATACAGTGCAGTATAGGACTGTCCCAGCCTCAGAATGTTTAGGCAGCCTTTCATTCACCCATACAGTGCAGTATAGGACTGTCCCAGCCTCAGAATGTTTAGGCAGCCTTTCATTCACCCATACAGTGCAGTATAGGACTGTCCCAGCCTCAGAATGTTTAGGCAGCCTTTCATTCACCCATACAGTGCAGTATAGGACTGTCCCAGCCTTAGAATGTTTAGACAGCCTTTCATTCACCCATACAGTGCAGTATAGGACTGTCCCAGCCTCAGAATGTTTAGGCAGCCTTTCATTCACCCATACAGTGCAGTATAGGACTGTCCCAGCCTCAGAATGTTTAGGCAGCCTTTCATTCACCCATACAGTGCAGTATAGGACTGTCCCAGCCTTAGAATGTTTAGACAGCCTTTCATTCACCCATACAGTGCAGTATAGGACTGTCCCAGCCTCAGAATGTTTAGGCAGCCTTTCATTCACCCATACAGTGCAGTATAGGACTGTCCCAGCCTCAGAATGTTTAGACAGCCTTTCATTCACCCTTACAGTGCAGTATAGGACTGTCCCAGCCTTAGAATGTTTAGACAGCCTTTCATTCACCCATACAGTGCAGTATAGGACTGTCCCAGCCTTAGAATGTTTAGGCAGCCTTTCATTCACCCATACAGTGCAGTATAGGACTGTCCCAGCCTTAGAATGTTTAGGCAGCCTTTCATTCACCCATACAGTGCAGTATAGGACTGTCCCAGCCTTAGAATGTTTAGGCAGCCTTTCATTCACCCATACAGTGCAGTATAGGACTGTCCCAGCCTTAGAATGTTTAGACAGCCTTTCATTCACCCATACAGTGCAGTATAGGACTGTCCCAGCCTTAGAATGTTTAGGCAGCCTTTCATTCACCCATACAGTGCAGTATAGGACTGTCCCAGCCTTAGAATGTTTAGGCAGCCTTTCATTCACCCATACAGTGCAGTATAGGACTGTCCCAGCCTTAGAATGTTTAGGCAGCCTTTCATTCACCCATACAGTGCAGTATAGGACTGTCCCAGCCTTAGAATGTTTAGACAGCCTTTCATTCAACCATACAGTGCAGTATAGGACTGTCCCAGCCTTAGAATGCTGTTCTTCACTATGGACAAAAAACCTTTACCAGGGGGTATTACGCTATGATGTTGGGATTACAATCTTTAATCTCTCTTCTTCTTTTTTTTCATTTGTTAACTTGTAGTTTCACATGCATTAGTTGTAAAAAAACCTTAATATAGAACAGTACAGCCTTGTATTTATTTATCTTTTTTTCAGATAGCAGCATGAGGATGTAATACAATTTGGACAACTGGAGTGAGGATGGAGCAGTTGCTTTTGAGTGATGTGTTGGAGTGTTCAGTATGCTTGGAGCAACTTGATTCCACTTCTCGTGTCCTCCCGTGCCAGCATACATTTTGCCGCCGATGTCTCAATGATATTGTCCAGACTCATAAGGTAACTTGGTAAATACAGTTTTCTGTTGTGTAAGAAGTAGACATTAGACATGTTGCGCTTGCTCACTGAACCTCACAAATTTGACATCTTCACTGGTCTACCCTTAGAATATGAATTAGCTGAATGCACTTAATATTGATCAGATAACATGTTGTTACTGCAAAAGGAACCTAGCTGAGACATTAGAACCCAAATTCAAAACGCTGGTTTGAAACCGCATGAAGGCTTAAACCAAGGATTGAGCGAAGATTGTTGGTATTTAGAATGGTATTCAGCCAACATAAAGATTCAAACCAGGTTTGAGATCGGATTTGTTGATCCTTGAGTTAATCCAGCCTAGAGGCAGGTTTAGCGGTCGATTCGTCATTCAAGATAGCAAGTCAACATGAATTTTGACAGAGCGCGCTTTTCAGCGATACTGTGTAATTGGAAATTTTGTAGATAGAAGATTGATAGTAGATAGGTAGAATCCTCTTAATTTTTATGATGACATGCAATTCAGACAATGATGTAGGTTCAGCAAGGGAGATTTCCTTGATATTTTCTGTGATATGGAGCATCAACTTAACAGACTGGTTGGCTATGGTTCACCTCTACCTCCCATTCATCAACTTCAAGATTCTTCACAATGAATAGTTTCCAGGTAAGAAAGAGTCTGGTTAGTTATGGTAATGTGTTATAACACTTACGTGTTTAGGGTCCATGAAGATCAAGCAGGTAAATGTAAGGAATGCTGACACTTCTTTATTTTGAGTGTTTTTACTCAGAAAACTATTTTGTTGAATTTTCAATATACAGTACAGTAATAGTCTTCATTTACGCGGTCAATTGAACCCGTGGAGGTCCGCGTAAAACGAGAAACGTGTAAATGAAATAACAGAACATATGGGATTAATTGAAATAGAGACTGGGCCGACCCCCAAACTACACTTTTTCCGACACAATAGTACGTTGTAGTAAAAATAACATCTTAATTTTATGATGGTATGCACACACAATTAATATTTAAGAGAAATACAGTCGCCGGTTAATGTCCATTCAAATAATGAACTCAACTCCGCCCCCCCCCCCTTTTCCCACGCTCACTGGCTCTTCTCCCTCACTGAGAAATGTTTGGGTGAAAACACTAGGTTATTAGGTTTAGTAATAAATAATACCTCAGACTATGGTTAGGATAATTTAATTGACATTCCTGTATTCCTTGCAAGACTGCTAATAATTTGAATATAAACGTCTTATATTTTGCACAAAAGATAAAATTTTTGCTCTCTCTAATAAAATTCATAAATTAGATCTAAAATTTGTATGTCTAATGCAAATTTTAGCTTGTTTATATTCAAATTAATCACTTATCTTATAAGAATTCCAGCAATGTAAATTATATTCTGGCCGGATAATTTCTATGAATTTTATGAGCTAAAAACAAATATCTTCAGTAAATAAACAAATTATACTTCACCCAGACACAATACGTTATGTACGTTGTAGTAAAAATAACATCTTAATTTTATGATAGTATGCACACACAATTAATATTTAAGAGAAATATCAATAATATTAGGTTTTTTAACACTTACTTAGTAGAAGAGATGGCTGGGTACACGGGGATTGGGGTTGGTTTTGAGGCAGAGGGCAGATTATTGGCCCTCACCTGTATCACTATCCACCACAGAGGCTTGCAGGGCCTCTTTGTCAAACCCCTCAAAGTCCATATCCTCACTATCACTGACTTGGGCTGGCTGTGGTGGGTGGCGGGTGAAGAACTCGGTAATGTTTTGTTGACTGGGCGACCTTGTGCGCACCCTGCCCACTCCGCTTCCCGCGTAAATGATGGAATGAACCGTGTAAATAAAAATTTGTCAGTCTGGAAAGGTGCCGGGTAAATGACCAAACGCTTAAACCAAATCCGCGTAAATCGAGACTACAGTCATGCGCCGGTTAACGTCCTAGATACGTTCTAGGAAACGTGATGTTAACTGAAATGGACGTTGTCCAAAAGTACAGAAACCTATGGGATTTATTCTAATTGGTTCCAGGCACCCAACCCCAAGTTTCCCATTTTACGACCATTTAGACCTCAACAGATGTAGGTTAACATTACACCTGGAGGCAAATGCCTAAGGAAGGAAGGATATTCCTTTAACACATAATATCTGGCCAGTATGGGGAGGACCATCGTGTCTCCGTCAGGGGGTCGTGGAGTGGTGGTCCAGCAGGCATCACGGAAGTGTTGTTTTTTTTTTGGGGGGTATTTGGGATCGGACTTTGTTCGGTTGGACGCTAACCGGCGCATGACTGTATACTGTAATTGAATCAATGCTGAGTGCATTTTGATTTTAATTTATTAATAAAGGAAAGTCTTTTCTTAACATTACTAATGAGGGGAAATGTGGGGTTAAAAGAAAAGAAAGAAACCTAACGTAGAGCTTAGTCAGGTTACTATGCCCTGCATTGATTCATCTTGCTTTGGTTATGAATATTGACACCAGTCCCGGATTATATCTACAATTTGTATGTAATTATTCTTCCGCTATGAATTTCTTTGTTATCATATAACAACACAGCCACATTGTAACATAGTACAGTGGTCTCTCGGTTAATGAACACAATTCGTTCCACAGAGTCATCCGTTAACCAAAAATTTCGTTAACCAAATATTATTTCAATGGGATATTGGGTAATTGGTTCCAACTCTCAGAAAAGTACATACAAAGTATAAACAAAATGCAGTAAAGTACACTTACTTTGAGGTGTGTAAGGAATAATGTTGCTGGTTGATGATGATGATGGGAATTAGAAGTGGGGGTGGAGGAGGAGAAGGGAGAAGAGAAGCTTTTTAATGCTTCTTGGAAGGCGAGTCACCTTCCATAATAATGTCAGGAACCTCTGGACTGACTCAGTACATTGGTTCTAATGCCTTCTTCATTTTTCTTAATAATTTCCTGTTTCACTTGAATTTAAATCGCCTTTTTAGATTTCTTTGGACCAATGCTTGATTTCACCAATAAAATTTTAAGTGCACTAGCTGTAATTAAAGATTTTTTTATTTAAATCAACACTACAGTGCACTATATATTATCAATATGTTAACAAAATTTCAGAATGACCACTAATTTTAATGTAAAAACGTAAAAACACGATGTTTCCTCCACTGTAAACAAAGTTAAACAGAGACGCTTTGGCAGATGAGTCAAGCGGCTGATAGGCACTCAAAAAACTAGTTCCCTAGTTTAATATAAAAAATGCAAAAATTTTAAAGAGCACAACATTCTTGATATTTACTCCACTGGAAACGAATGTAAACATAGAACCGATTACTGTATTGGCGGACTAGCTGATCAGTTGATCAGTTGATGTGCACAACAAAATGTGTTTGTCGTAAGGATTTCGTTAATCGAAGTTTTGTTCGTTAATCGAACTGAAAATCCTTATGGGAGCTAATTCGTTAACCGTAATTTCATTAATAGAAACGTTCGTTAACCAAGGGACCACTGTACCATAAATCATTATAATTTGAAATTAATTTGATTATAATTACAGCAACAGCATTTACCAATTTCACTTTTCAAGCTAGATTATCTCCCACCAATCACATTTCAGGATGCAATCATTTTGCCAAATTCTAAAAGAGATATGCTAGGCCTCACCATTTCTTCTAATATGTCATGGAAGCCACACACCCACAACATTGCTAAAGCTACCTCCCGAAAGCTGGGAATGCTGTACAGATGCCGTAGCTACTTTAATACTAACTTGGAGTACTGCTCTCATATATGGGGTGGCGGCTCTTCTGCCCAACTGTTAGATAGGGTGGAATCAAAGGCATTTCATCTTATTAACTCTCCTCCTTTAGCTGATAAACTCTCTTCCCTTTCTCTTCACCGCAATGTTGTTTCACACTCTCTTTTACAGTTACTTTAACGGGCAGTGTTGGTGGATTTGGTATCCTGTGTACCGCCGGCAAGGCCATGGGCTCGTAACGCTTGTCTTGCCAGCAGTGCCCACCATTTTTCTGTGGATGTCGGTCACACTAGAATAACCCGTTATAGTACATCTTTCTTTCCTCACACAGCCAAACTGTGGAATGCTCTGCCTTCTTTTGTGTTTCCATACTCTTACAATCTGTCTCACTTTAAAAAGCTTGTTTTCCAGCATCGTTGTAGTATAGATTAATAGCCTTTTTCTCTTCTATTTTTAATGTATCTTTACTCATATTTTTTTGACCCCTAGGCCCCGTTGTGGGTCGGTGACCTGTGCCCAGGTGGGCTATTCACCTAAAAAACAAAAAGAAACTTATGACTTGTAAAGAGAGATTTCTCCTCCATAAAGTCATAGTTGTCGTCATAATCTTGTAAACATTACTCTCGATGGTGATTGGCTGTCGTAGTGGTATAAATGAAACGTGATTGGCTGGAAGTTCACTGTTTGAATCCTTGCTCCTTATTGAAGGAAATGTAACTGATTACCCGATCCAGGGTTCAAGTAGATGTTCTGAATATGGGTAATCCACGGCAGGAAATCTTGGATCGAGGAATCCCAATTTGCACGCCTGAGCCTAGCTCAAATCCCAGGCTCAAAATAACGTTCTGAATTCGGGCCTAACATTCTTGGAATTGGGAAGGCGCTTTCTTGCGAGGTGCTATGGGGTCTGGCCTGTTACTCACCTTACAGTGCTAGACTGCACCACACAAGAGATAATTGTATATACTATAATGAGTTAGAGCAAGTTTGCTAATTGAAATAAAAAGGTGGGGGTTGTTACATTAGCATTGTAAATATATTACCTAGAAACAGTTCTAGATGAGTAATCACGATAAAATAATTATGTAATATCTCCATTCGGTGGAATCCCTCAAACCCAGAACTCTCCAATAGCTTGAATTGAAATTTGCTCTGATTTTTTCTGGAAAATCCTCTCAATTCCAGGTTTGGGAACATATTTTGAGGTTGAAAATCGGGGACATTTTCTGAAAATTCCAGAAATTCTAGAATATCTCAACACATTTTTATTTCTGGGTCTGGGAATAAGTTTTAAGGGCATTCCAACCCATCTCCATATGCCAGGTGCGTGGGTGGCCTAGCTGCTTGGCTTGCTTAGTTCATATTCTGCTGCCATTGTAGAAGGTTTTTCCCTTGCTAGCTGCTGTTTTTGTGTAAATTTTGTGTTGTGCAGTGCTTTACATTATTGTACCAGAACAAAATCAGCAAAGAATTCAGTGTTAAATCAGTGTTAAGAATGTAAAAAAGTGATTACAGTTACGTATACCCGGTACAGTGGTCCCTCGGTTAACGAACACAATTCGTTCCAGAAATTCGTTCGTTAACCGAAAATTTCATTAACCGAAACCATTGTTTCAATGGGATTTTGGGTAATTGGTTCCAACTCACCGAAAATTACATACAAAGTAAAAAAAAAATGCAGTAAAGTACACTTAATTTGAGGTGTGTATGTAGAAGGCTCCTGGTTGATGATGGTGATGATGGGAATTAGAAGTGGGGGTGGATGAGAAGGGAGAAGAGAAGGAAGTGGGGGTGGAAGAGAAATCACCCCATGCTTCATGCCGTTACTTCACCCATAAAATTTAAGTTCACTAGATTTAATTCAAGATTACTTTCTTTAAATCAACACTGCACTGCACTATA